TTCACACAGCGAGAAGGTATTTGATGAAAAATAGGCGTCTACTTACCAAAATGAGTATTGTGTGAAAGACAATGAACTCTGGGCCAGCAGATGGCGACTGCAGATCAAAACTTCAGAACTGATGTGAGTTTTTGTTTGGTGATGTCACCAGCTGCAGTGCTTAGCGATAATTTATTATTTATTTATTTATTTATTTATTTTTATTTAGCCTTCAAATAACAACTTCCATTGTTAAACATATATAACATTGTATCCAGGCAGCATATAATAAACAAAACATTACAAAATATTAATAATAATAACATAAATAATCCTTAAATAATACAAAAGAAAATACTTTCAATGGGGTCAGTCCATATAACCTGACAAAAGTTTAGAGAGCTTTGAGGCACCTTTTGTTTTTACCGGTTTTATGGATTTATATAAAATGTTGGAAATAAATTTTAAATGCTTTGAAACAAGGACAAACTTTAACAAATCTACATTTGTAAATATAAAATTTTGCTACAATCAACATATTATTACACAGAAGTTTAATTTCTTTGTTTTTATAAAAATGCCAAATTTTGCTAATCAATAACATCCTTCTCACTAGCAGTGCACAGTAGATTTTATTAGTATAATTTATTTAATTAAGTTTTATTTCATTAAAATTCAATAAATTAGTTTTAAATAAACACCAAAAACTTCCAGAAATGTATAATTTCACTGGTTAATAGGCCTGTGTAAATAATTTACAATAAATAAAATTAATAAAATCTGCACCCTGATGAAGAGTGTTTTGGCTGTTTTTTGTTTATTTTATTTTGTTTTGTTTTATTTTATTGATTTTATTAACAATTACATTTGAATTGTTATTCAGTCTATGAAACGGCTGCCTTTCCACACGGCAATTTTCAAAATTAAGTACAAACTTTAAAAAAAAAACTACTATTTGAAAGATCTTAACCCTCCAAAAAAGCTTTTTTCCTACCTCTGGCACAAAATCCTTATTAATTATATTGTTTTTCTTTAAGCAAGAGAGTCTCGCTTGTACCACATTGTTACCTGATAATAAGTATGACATTACAGTAGTAAAATAACAAATAGCTTTTTAAATTCAAATGTTTTTCAAATAAAATGTCCTCTTTTATGCAGCTATCAATAGAAAGTCTGTATTATGAGATTTTTAACTTTGAAAAATAAATGTGACATGTAAATTGTTTGCACTGAAAATTTTAATTCAAATTTAAAAAAATACAAATGAACTTAAATTTTTAATTTAGTCCACACAACAAGAACATAATTCAACATTAATTTATGCAGAGTGTATTAGGGTAGTATCTGATGTTGACAGTGTTGTTCACTGTGACAGGGTGGTATGGACTATGTTTTCTTTTTTAATAATTTAACCAGTGTAAACCTTTAAACAGTGTAAATTGTAAAGTTATATACAACATTTTGTGCTATAATAAAGAAAACAGTTTATTTGATGCATCTTCCTGCACTTTATAATCTCTCCCTCTCTATGTACTGTATATATATTATACACAAGCACACACAAACACGCACACGCACATGCGCACACACACACACACACACATATCCATTAAAATAAGAGTTTGATCACCTTTATCAACTTTAGGAATAGAAAGATTTACATTCAATTAAATATTGCCAAAAAAGACATACTACAAAACATACTTTTGATTTTTCCTCTTTATTAAAATGTGTTAAATGTTTTCGCCAAACATAAACAATGTGGGTGAACTCTTTATTAAAACAGATAGATTATGAATGTTGTAGATAGATGTATGAATATGAGTGACTAAAAATGAGTGTGTGAAAGAGAAAGTAAGGAAGAGTGTTAGAGGCCAAACGATTAAATTAATAGAAAATGACTGAATTAATCGATTAGCCCTATATTAGAATCTTTGATTTCATAAATCTTTACATTCAATTGGAATGCAGAACCACCCTATCACATCCCTAACCACCCATCACAATGAGAAATGTGACAGGGTGTTATGTGATGTGATAGTAAATTATATCCAAAAATGGCCACAAATCTCCCATGTGATCAAGTTCCTCGTCTGGCATACATTCATTCAATTTGAAATTGAATTGTCTCTGCTTTCAATATGCAAAAGAAATAGGTTTACCCTATCTATTTTGCGTGACAGGATGGTTGTGTCGAGCTTGACGGACCCTGTCAAACAAGATAAAGCAACAAAAAAAAAAATGTAAAAGAATTTCAGTACTTTCCTGCTTTTTAGTCTTGGAGGGTGCACTGCAGGGCCCATATGATGTCAGTTCTGTTTTTGTGATCTCATTTAAAGCAAAAGTACATCAGTTATAGATGAAACAAGTAAATTTGACGGGGTTGTAAGTCAAGCTGAGGGACACACACAAATCATGAAATATTTACAAAAATATATATAAAATTTATGAAATAAATATATCTTATGGAAATAAAAACACACATATAAATCTCAAAACAATAAAAGTTTGGGAGGAAAAAAGTAATTTATTTGATAATATTTTAGGTGCAAATGCAATGCTAGTCAGCATGGATGTGACATTTTTGATGTAATCATGAAAAAGTATAAAAAATATTAATGTGACTCTATAATATTAATAATTTATAATATATCATGTTAGCAAGAACCTTTGAATTAATTACTTTGACTTTTGGAAACACATTTTTAGAACAATTTTGTGCCTAAAGCAGCACTGTAAGAAAAAAAATCGTTAAAAAAAGGTCAAATGACTGGCAGCTACGGCTGCCAAACAAAAACCATAAAATTACGGTAAAATGTCTTTGTTGAAATAAAGTGCAAAAAATAATAAATCTAGAGATATTTTCATTAAAATGATTACAGAAAAACACTGTTATTTTACAGACTTTTCCTAGATTATTACAATCAAATCCGTTCAATAAAGGTATACACTAAGGGTTTTACAAAGAAACACTGTTATTATACAGACATAGATTATTATGATTAAACATCATCAATAAAGTGACTACACTAAAAGTTCAAGGGAAAACAATGTTATTTAAAAGAATTTTCCCTAAATCATTACGGTTAAACACCTTTAATAACATGCCAAGACATGCTCATGTTCGTAATTTAACAGTTTTATTTTGGATCAAAATGTTTTGAAAAAACCAACAAACGAGAAACAACTGATTAAAAATTTCACAACTTTAATATTACAGTTGTTACATTTTATTGAATAGTGTTTATGTAAATCATGTAGAGGTTTAAGTTATATGGAATGATTCAGTTACAGATATTAAATGAAATGGAACTGTTACATGAAGGGGACGCTGACAAATGAGTGCAGATCCACAGGCAAGCAACAGTCAACACAGGGGCAAACAGATGTAACATTATGCAGGGAATCCAGAGTCATGGTCAAATAACAGGCAAATGGTCAGTCCCGGCAGCAAACAACGTAAACAATTAACAAACAAAGCAAAGCAAAAGAAGAAAACCGCGTCATAATGTTCACAGTAGCAGCATAACAAGACTAAGCAATTGGTGCGTGCGTCTGTGCTGCTTTTAAAGTGCATGTAATCAGTTCATAACGATCCTTCGACTGTGTGTGTGTAATCAGCAGAATCTGAAACAGGTGTATGTGAGCACTCTTAGTGTGTTACTTTATTATATGGATTTTTTAGTAATAATCTAGGAAAAAGTCTGTAAAATAACAGTGTTTTTCTGTAAACATTTTAATGAAAATATCTGTAGATTTATTATTTTTTTGCACTTTTTTTCAACAAAGAAATTTTACCATAACTTTATGGTTTTTGTTTGGCAGCCATGCCAATCATTTGACCTTTTTTTTAGGTTTTTTTTTTTTACAGAGCAAGTAATTACAATTTATTACTTTAATTTTACGTAATTTTAAATGTAAAAAACAGACAAATTGCTGTAATTTGTCATTACTTATATAGTACATAAAATAGCAGTCAAGCCGTTAATTTACTAATAATGTTTGTAATTTTTACGAACTTTTGAATATAATTTAAAATAACAGAAAAAATACTGTATAAATAATACTGTAATTTCCCTGTATAAAAAACACAAATGTCAGTAAATTGTCTTTAATAATAAAGTACCTAAAATGATAGTCAAACGGTTAATTTAGGGAGATTTGTTGTCATTTTACTAAGTTTTGAATATAATGTGAAATGACAAAAAATTACTGTAAAAAATTTAAGGATATTTTCTGTAAAATTAAGTTTTTTTTTTTACAGTGAGCTCATCAAATGTTACGGACACAAATTGCACCTATTTTATAGAATGCAAATATGTTACTAAATAAAAAGTGTTTTGTATTTTAAATGTATCTGAAATACTGCCCTACTACATGGCCTGCTGGGGATTTGCATAGTGATTTTTTCCCTGATTTATTCTCATTCTAGCATGTGAATCTTGTTATTTTTTCTTATGCAATATTTTGATTTAAACTACTTAAAAAAGACACTTTTTGTAGAACTGTAAGTGTTCATTTTCAACAACAACATTTTTTCAAAGAGACCAAGATCCAATATTAATGCCATCCAATTTGACTTGAAAACAACCTAATGAAAAACACCTGTGATTGATGAAATAAGGGAAACTATCAGTCTGTCATCTGTTTCTCTCCCTTTGGAATGACCCAGCGTTTACTTTTCATACATATTTTTCAAGTGCTGGGTTCTTTGGCAATCTTCTGAAAGACATTTAGAAAGGCACAAGGAAATGACTTTTTTATTAATAGCCACACATGTCAACTAGAGACCATCTTTTTTGTGGAGCACATGAGAACCGATTTCGCAGTCTATCCTTTTAAATGTTATGGATGAAGGCATCTCTGACATGTTATTAATTTTCATTTGTTTAGCAAGGACTCCACTTCCCTTTGCAACTGACTTGAAGGAAAATGAAGAAATGAAAGCAACATTCATCTACATTTTCATCTGCATTACCAGTCTATTTTGCAAAAAAAAAAAAAAAATGTTAGCATTCAGATGCAGTTTGTCATTTACATTTATTTGTTTTGCAAAGACTTTATTCAAATATCTAACAAATTAAAATAATACAAGCCAAAGATATTAATCCAAGTACATTAGGTCTGAAATGGATCTGAAATGCATTTCTGACCATTTCACATCTCTGAGAGACTAAGTAAATGCATTCATGTTTTCTTTCCTTATTTTTCCAGTTTCTTATTTCCAGCGGCCTCCGACTTTTCCTTTACCATGACCTTTTTTGCTGTAATAGAGAAAGAGACAAACACAAGCAATTCTGACTTTAACTGACTTCTTACTGGAATAAAAAGAAGTTTCTCAGTTCACATAAAAATTCAAACCCTGTCTTTATTTACTCTAATGATGTTTTTAAACCAGTATGGTTTACTCTTACCCCTGACAACTATAAGTATACACGTTTTGAACAGATTTGTCAAAGTATAGCGTCAGTCTACATACTCTCTAAAATTACCCAAAAATTTGCTTAAAAACAAGGTACTCTGATGGCCAATGCAGACTTCTTCATTAGCATCAGACTATGCATATTCATCCATTGGACAGAAATTAAACAATTATATCTTGAGCACATTTTAAAACATTAATTGTTGTTCAATTGTTATGTGTGTTTTTTTGTTGTTCAGTATGTCTTGAAAGCATGCACTTAGACTGCATTTTATAGGGGGTTTGACTAAAGTATTTAATGCTTGGTCCCTCCACTAAAGTAGGAAAAAAACTGACATCGGGTGGTAAAATAGTTTTGCACTGGAAAATAGTTTGCACTGATCTGCATCTGAAAAGTAAATGCTCACACATGTAAGTTTTACAGTAAACAGTAATTGTGAACTTCTATCATAACTTTATCGGTGCATGGATGCAAAATTGTCACCATTTGCAAAATGTGTCATTTCATATATAGAAATAAATCCAATCATTATCCATAAAAAGTGTGAAAATAAGTTTGACTAATAAAGGAGAAGTATTTGAATTAAAAATATGAGTTTTTAACATGAAAAATTTTATGAAATAACTCCCTTCAATGTGATTGTATCTGAAAAGTTATGTACTGTAGTGTAAAATAACATAACTTACAACTTTTGAGCGTGAGAAATCCTGTTCAGCAAAACAACAATCTGTTGAGAAGGAAAAATAAAACATACATTTATTAGGCATACTTTTAATGTGCTTGTGTTCATATAATTACAGTATTTTTATCACTTTAAGTTAGTTCTCACTCAGGGTGGTCTCTAGCTAGCTCAACTGAACCAATTTTAGTACTACCCAAAACAAACACAGTCAAACATTCACCAGTAAAATCATTCACCAGAACCTGGATTTCACAAATCAGTCAAAGTCAACACACCTCATACTTCTGTTTCTTCATTTGATCCAAGAGGTCAAATTTCTCAGACTCCAGCTCATAAATCCAGTTCCACATTTCCTGAGCTCGCTGCCTGTTTTGTTAGAATAAGTAATGGGCATGACCAAAACTGTCAGGTTTGAGCAGACAACACATTTCTAAAGGTTGGGAAAATAACATGTCTGTCTGAAATGTTTGAAATGGAAGTTTTATATGAAATTAGAGCTCATACTTACTTTTTTTTCTGCACATCTAACAAAGTGGCAAAACATGACCTAATGTTCTGTCAGCATGAGCATGTGCAACGTATGGCAGGCTGTATCATACACTGCTTAAAAAAATAAAGGGAATACTTGAATAACAAATCCTAGATCTGAATGAATGAAATATTCTTATTAAAAACGTTGTCCTTTACATAGTTGAATGTGCTGACAACAAAAGCACACTAAAATTATCAATGGAAATCAAATTTATTAACAAACGGACATCTGGATTTGGAGTCACACTCAAAATTGAAGTGGTAACACACACTACAGATTGACCAAACTATGATGTAATGTTCTTAAAACAAGTCAAAATGAGGCTCAGTAGTGTATGTGGCTTTCCTACAATGCCTAGGCATGCTCCTGATGAGGTGGCAGATGGTCTCCAGAGGGATCTCCAGCTAGACCTGGACCAAAGCATTCACCAACTCCATTCACCAACATTGTCTGTGGTTCAATGTGGCGTTGATGGATTGAGCGAGACATGACGTCCCAGATGTGCTCAATGAGATTCAGGTCTGGGAAACGGGCAGGTCAGCCCATAGCACCAATGCCTTCATCTTGCAGAAACTGCTGACACACTCCAGCCACATGAGGTCAAGCATTGTCTTGCCTTAGAAGATACCCAGGGCCATCCGCAACGGCATGTAATGTAATGTAATGTAATGTGCATTTATTGTGTATGGCCATACACTTAAAGCGCTTCACAATCATGGGGGGGGGGGGTCTCTCCACACCACCACCAGTATGCAGCATCCACTTGGATGGTGCAACGGCAGCCACAGGACAACGGCGCCAGTGCCATTACCACACACCAGCTGTTCGTGGAGTGGAGAGACAGTGATAGAGCCAATTCGGTTGAAGGGGATGATTGGGAGGCCATGATCGTAAGGGCCGATAGAGGGACTTTGGCCAGGACACCGGGGTTACACCCCTGCTCTTTCACGAGAAGTGCCATGGGATTTTTAACGACCACAGAGAGTCAGGGCCTCGGTTTAACGTCTCATCCGAAAGATGGCGCCCACTGACAGTGTAGTGTCCCCTTCACTTTTACAGGGGCATTAGGACTCACGCAGACCACAGGTTGAACGCTCCCTGCTGGCCTCACTAACACCACTTCCAACAGCAACCTAGTGTTCCCTAGTCGTCTCCCATCTAGGTACTGACCAGGCTCAGCCCTGCTTAGCTTCAGTGAGTAACCGGTCTTGGGCTGCAGGGTGATATGGCTGTGGAGCATATGGTCTCACGAGGGGTCTGAGTATCTCTGTACTAAATGGAAGTCAGGCTACCTCTGGCAAGCACATGGAGTCGCATGCTTACACTAGAGTGAAAGCACCGCCAGCATTCAAAAGTGACCAAAACAGTAGTCAGAATGCATAGGAACTGAGAAGTGTCCTGTGGTCAAACCTGCAGAGCCACTCCTTTATTGTGGGTGTATTGCTAATTGCTAATTGCTAATACTTATATTTTACTTATATTTTCTACATGTTTTGTATTCCATAAGCACTACAGCATGTAAAATTGATTGTCAATCAGTGTTGCTTCCTAAGTGGGCAGTTTGACTTCACAGAAGTGTGATTGACTTGGAGTTATATTGTGTTGTGTAAGTGTTCCCTTTATTTTTTGAGCAGTGCATAAGTATAATAGTTGTTTGTATAAAACAGATTTGCATGTGTTCACCTCAACGCATCCTCACGCATATTTTCGATGCCAAGGGGAGCACGCCTCTCTGAAAGAGTCTTTCTCTTGATCTCTCGACCAGTCAAACGTTTCCCTCTTTTCTGCTCTGCCTAAAACACAAACATACAAACTGTACACTTATCTGCAAAAGCATTAGAATCTGTAAGAGGTCAATTTTATAACCTAACAAGGCCAAGTTCTAAGGTGTGATTAGATGAGATTGTAAGCAAACACTTGATACCTTACTAAACATGTAGGATGCAGGAATAATGGATGAGAATAAATATGTAAGTGACATTAACTTCTGAAACATACTGTAAACTACCATAAAATGTGTAAAGTTGCATTGGTTTTAATAGAAACTGTAATGATTGTTAGGTTCTCTACTGGTAATGTTGTATGTTAAAGTCAATAAACTCTGATAAATTATGTCTGAAAACCCAAATTTGATGGTTATATTTTATTAGGAAACCACTGAGCTTCTGTAATGGTTTCCATTGTTTTTCTTTTCTAATTTTTTTAAGCAGGGATTGACCATGAAAGTTGGCTTAGAGTATGTATAATTCATAAGGCATGACGGTTGCTGCCAAACACCAATGGCAAGAATTTACGCCCAGTTCACAAACCAATGAGTCATTATATGAGGCCAAGGATGAATGTATTCCCGCCTAGTCTGAGCAAACTGAAGCCCCACTGTTGCGCAAGACACATTAAATTATACAAAATGTTTACAATTTAGAATAGCAAATGATATAATATAATAATATGTCAACTACATTTATTATAAATGTCTTTAGTATTTCATTTGGGAATAGTTATAATATCTAGAAAATTCTACCAGAAAAGCACATTATCTGTCTCTGAAATAAAAACATAAAAACAGTGAGAAAAAAGTTTTTTTTCCATCAATTTCATCCCAAGAATTTCTAAAATGGACTGATGGTTGATTTTTGTCAGTTTACACTTTACATTGTACAAACCCTGTCATTGTCCTTGTCCTCAGCGCAGTTGAACCTACAGCTTTAATAGTTTTGTTACACTACAAAGTGTTATTTAGAGAAAAAAACAGAACTAGCAAGTTTAAGTTGTTATCATTCACATCAATTGAATAAAAACCTGAAATTATAAATAAATTCTACAAATAAATACTACAAATATATATAATACGACTAAATTTACAATTGGCCCCATGTTTCGGTCAGTCCTGCCACATTTGCATTTAATTTAACAGACAATGCGTTCCTTACATGTTTAAGACTATGACTCTGAAGTGACATCATTTAACAGAGAAGAAGCTGACAATGATCAAGGATGCATTTTGTCATTGAATTGTATGATTTTACAACACAATCTCACGGCAATTCGTAACTTTTTCATTTAGTGGCTAATACGTATGAATTCGTACGATCTAATTCGTACAATTTAGTACGATTTGCTTATCCCCCAATGACGGTTGGGGTTAGGGGTGGGGTCAGGTGCCAAGCCTCCTTTTTAAAATCGTACCATTTCGTTCGACTGAACTCATACGAATTCATACGAATTAGCCACTAAACTGGCAAAACGTAAAATACTTACGTTTTCTCGTGAGATCAGGCTGGATTTTATGCTTGTTTCGTATTATGATTTTCTTTTAGGGTGACAAATTTTTATTAGTGAAAATGTATGTTTCTGGTAGAATCTCCCATAAACTATTCTTAAACATTGTTAAGTCATTTAACGATCACATCTCATCCTCTTGACTCTATTGGCAATTTGAAAAAATTGTGTCGGTTGCAAGTGACATCCTTTAGTGGAGTGTGCAGACAATGAGTGTATATGTAAGTTCTGAGTGTGTGTCACTAATGTCAGCCTTTCTCATTGTGTAGGATCCCAAGACCAGATGGGCCTCTACTAAAGATGAAACGTGATATCTACCAAGGGGGCTTCTTGGAAAAGGGATATATTTTTTAAGGCACCCAAACATGCCTGTCCTTGCTGTTTTGGCAGGTGAATGTTTTAGCTTGTTGCATGTACAAAAATGTATTCATGTGTACATATAAGAAGACTGAATCTTACTTTGGCTAAGAAGCCACCAAAATTTGCCCCCATATTGGATAAAACCTTCTTCTTCTTGGCCTCATCATCTGCCCTCTTCTTAGCCTCCTCATCCTCTTTCCTCTGGCGCTCCTCCTGATGAGTGATTGGATATTAGATTTCACACTGATTTGATTATCGAAGCCCACAACAGCTAAATGCATCTGATGATTTTATTTAATACATCTTAAATTTCATTTTAGCTTTACCGCAATTCTTGTCTGTCTGTCTCTTTCTTTCTCTGCTCTAACACGCTGCTGCTCTGCTCGTTCAAACCGCCGCCGCTCCTGGGAACAGAGAAATCAAAGAGAAATAATATAATGATAATAATAATAGGAGATAATATAAAGATAATAATAAAGATAAAGATAATATTTTGAGAGAATTAAAAAGATGGAATAAATAAAAAATAATAAATAAAAAAGAAGTCTTGGTGGTGCAGTGGGTAGCACGATAGCTCCACAGCAAGAAGGTCGCTGGTTCAAACCCCGACTAGGTCAATTGGCATTTCTGTGTGGAGTTTCCTTTAGGTCCCCTGATTTCCCCCAAAGTCCAAAGACATGTGCTAAAGGTGAAAAAGCTAAATTGGCCGTAGTGTACACTCTCAGAAATAAAGGTACAAGAGGTGTCACTGGGGTGGTACCTTTTCAAATGTTACACATTTGTACCAAAAGGGTCCATATTATTACCTCGAGAGTACATATTAGTACCGAAAAAGTACAAATGTTTACCTTTTGACATTTTTTAGACACTAATTTTTACCTTTGAGGTACTAATATGGACTCTTTAAGTACAAATGTGTCCCTTTTGATAAGGTAATACCCCAGTGACAGCTCCTGTACCTTTATTTCTGAGTGTATGTAACTGAATGCAAGTGAATGCAAGAGTATATTGGTGTTTCCCAGTGGAAGGGCATAAAAACATATGCTGTATAAGTTGGAGGTTCATTCCGCTGTGGCGACCCCTAATTAAGAAAGGCACTATGCCTAAAAGAAAATGAATAAATGAAGAGATCAAACCCAAGAATTACAATTCTATCCTTTAGACCAATCAGTTCTTCCTCCTCCTTTTTCCTCTGCTCAAAGTGGGCCTCAATCAAAGTTTGTAACTCCAGAAGGTCCTTCTCCATTCTTTTACGATGAATATCCTTGAAAAAAGTGGAAACAGTAAGCTACAGTTTGAAAACCCCCATCTCCATGAAGTCTGAAATGCTATTTTCAATTGTATAATCTGACGTCAGCATAAGACCAATTAACCTACATGACATTATTCAATGTCACAGAGAAAAAATAAAAATCGACTTATTCAACCAGATACGTTCATCTGAGCTATATGAATCCCTAAATTGTATATGGTACTTACATCAAAATCTACCCTCTCACCCTCTGGAATCTTTGGAGGGGCAAGTTGTGGAACCATGGGCCTGTAATGTGGAGGACAAAAGCAATACATTTAGGGCAAGGAGGGCATGAAAACACAGTGGTTTTGTCTGTGGTCTGTCTTTTCAAAAGAGTGTCTTCTAACTTACTTGGGCCTCGGTCTTTCCTCCTCTAGGAAAAAATAGAAGAAACAAAGCGGTTCTTGTAAAACTTTATAGTACTGTCATTATTGCTCCCACACAACTGTACAATATGCCTCTATAGTCTTGCTGACATTTGTAGCAAGTTCCTCTTTTAATTACTAATGCACTCAATGACACAACTGTCAAAGGGTTCATTCATAACTTCTTCACATATCAATATCATTTCAGTTCTTTAATTAAATAACATTCTGTGAGTCAGCCTGGTCACATTCGAATGTTCTGAAAATTAAAGAAAAAAAATGACCCCACACGTTTTTTACACCAAAACCAAACTAACCGCACACCAAAGTAACTCTCCCCACTTTCTTAGTTTGCAAATTAAAGATACAAAATGGTGAGCTACAAACTCTCAATTCTGACCAGTCTGAGCAGCAAGATGTTATCTCGTGAATTGAGTTTACAATTGAAATGTGTTAAATAAAAACAGTTTTAATAAAATTGTCGCATGTAAACTTGAAATTGTGTGAATGTCTCCATTTCAATCCTTTAGTAGAAATAAGCTTTCATAATTTCATAAAAGTACCTGAACAGCAATATAAAGTTCTGTTCTGATGATTTTTTTCTAATCAGAAATATAGATTATAATAAGGATTAATTACACTGTCTGTTTTATATAAAAACTTTCCGAAAAGCCAAACACTGACATTTATAGCAACTGACCATAAATGTCTAAAAAAAAAAAGAAAAACTTATAATCCAGACACTTGAGTCCAGGGCAGGAAAAAATTATATCAGATGCTAAAAAAATAAGATGTTATTAAAGATCTACACCATAATTACCAGTTTCATGCTTGAGAGATTTAATAATTAACGTTAATCAATTACATTGCTATGTGCCATGCATGTCAATGAAACAGAAAAATTGATAAATTTCACAGTGATGAAAAGAGGATGAAACAACACAGATCTCAGAAGTTAAAGAAAGCACTTTTATCTAAAAGCCCTTACCTTCTTCCTGAGCCTCCTCTGATGAATGTAATAGTAAAAGAATACAAAAAAAAAAACATTAACAACAGAGAATAATGAGCAATGGCAATGTGGATACAAGATTAGTAGATGGGCAGACATTTAAAAAATGACAATGATGTGGTAAAGAAACAAGCTGCAGCTCAAATCCTTTCATTTTCACTTAACATCATTCTATTTCATTTCAAATCATTCGATTTTCAATATTTCATGCAATACAATCTACAATTAAGTGTTATATTGATGTGAAGATTCATGCTATGACCTTTAAGCATACATGCTACATTACACACCATCCACTCATAATGTTGTTTTTTTTTTACATGCTATACTGGGGTGCGTTTCCGAAAACCATCGTTACAAACATGGTTCATTGCTTTGGCGTTTCTAATCCATTGTTCCAACGAACATTCCCAAACTGCATCACAAATTTGTATGCTGTCAAGCCTCCAGAGTTTACATAGTCCTTGGCTGTGTTCTATTCCAGTTACCCCCCTATGCCCTTTTCATTTAAAACATCCATTAGAGTTATTTTTTTAAAAGCATTTAAGTCAGCACTCTTAGGTGTATTATGCTTTCAAAGTGTTTTTACAGTTCAGTTTTAGCGTTCTTCATGTTTACAAATACAAAAGCTATAGGTGACCTTTTATTTAAAAGTGGAATTTATGTTAAGACTCCAAAGCTTGAGAAAAAAAAAAAACACAGCATACGTTAATGCTTTTATTTTATATTAGGTTATTTATTAAGTATCTGTATTGTATATGACATGGGCCTGTTGGTGAGAACATTTCTGCAGTAGTTTGCATGTGTCAAATTGTAAAAATCTTACTTAACAATAATATTATTATTAATCATCATTATCATCATATTATTATTGTTAAAGTAGGATTTTTTTCATTTCCTATTAAATATTAAATTTCATTTCTTAATAAATCGCCTCATTATTTATTGATTTATATGATTTTTATATGATATTAGAATACATGTTAGCTTTTGTAAGTGGTTTTATGTTTTAGAATAGAATATCGAATATTCTCAATAATATTTGTAAAGGAAACACAAGCCCTATATGTGCCATTTACATACATTTCAATTATTATGAAAAGCTAGTGCATGTTTTTACCAAAACTAATATTGGAATTTTTTTTTAGGTCTGCGCATAAAACAATATCATTTGCACAAAGAAATATGGGGTTCTTCTCTTAAGAAGTTGTTACTCCACCCCATTAAGAGCATGATTATGGGCGTTTTACGTTATAACTAACATGGTTCAAACGATGGATCAGCGACAGAAAAACTACAGGGTTTGGGAAACACTCGTCACTACATAGCTCTTTTCTCAAACGATGCAGCGTACTATGATAGTTCAGCCGCGAGTTACGTCGTTGTTTGGGAAACGCGCCCCTCATAGTGTGTGTATTTTTACATTAAAAAAAATCAAAGTACCCTGATATTCTGTATAATCCTGCTGTTCTGTAATATAGATTTGGGAAAGAAACATAGAAATGACACATGAAAACATTGTAAAATTAATCTTTCTTTGATATTTGGTATTTATGATTGATCACAATGTGTATCGAGATTACATATGAGACACATAAGCATTTGCCACTAACATTATTATATAAATTACTATGTGAATTAATTAATATGAATTAATTTGCAAAAGAATATGACTTATTATGAATATGACAATTTTTTGTTAACTTGATAAAAGCTTTGTTTATATTAATAAACAAACATTAAAATCAAAAAAATAAGAGTGAAATGAGTCAAAGGGATATTTAATGAAGTTACATCTCAACCTTTGTTTTAAAGCAAAAGATCAAATCTTACAAAAGCACAAAGTGAAGACGTGATTGAAATAAAAAAAGATAATTATTGATTTAAAGTATTTGGGAACCGCAAAAGGGTTCTTAATGTTAATTTGTTTGTTTGTGAAAAGTTAATATCATGTCTTTTCTATCTACAGTATATCCTGAAAATCTTTATATTTATTCTATTCTGTTATTTTATTATATATAGTTTTATTTTTAGTATAAAAACTCTTTCTCGGCTTTTTTCACATACATTTAATTTCTGCGGAGTACTGCAGGAAGCAATGGAAGCAAGCATCACTGATATGGTGGTGTAGCATTCATTCAATATTAAATATTGAATTAAATGTCATATTTCAACAGTTAAAATTAGTTTACCAATACATTAATTCATACATTAGTTATATTTTAATGAGATCACGTGACCAACAGTTTCACAGACTGCAGCTCTGCACAAGACGTTTGGCCAGAGGAGAATGGCCGTGCCCAGCTGAGCCTGTCTTTCTCAAAGTTTTTTCCTTCACTTTCTTCAATTGTTCAAGTTTGTTCCTCACCACTGTCACCATTGGTTTGTGGATTTAAGAGCTGTGCATCAATGGAGTTTCTCTTCAGTGATTCGGCTTTCAGCAGTGACTTTTACCTTACACTGAACTGTGACAACTGAACTGAAGAAATTTAAATTTATTACTATACTATCATCTATATAATATTATCTATACTACTGTAAGCTCCTTTGACACAATCTAAATTTTAAAAGGTGCTGAATCGATTAATCAAGTTAAATAGAGCTGTGTTATATTAGTTCTTTAACATTGCCCATCCACATTTTTACATTAAACAACGAAGTTACATCACAACCTTTGCTTTAAAGCAAAAGAGCAAATCTTACAAAAGCACAAAGTAAAGACGTGATTGAAATAAAAAAAGATAAGATAATTATTGATTTAAAGTCATTGGAAACCACAAAAGGGTTCTTAATGTTAATTTATTTGTGTTGATTGGTGAAGATTTCTTAACAGAATCACTGGTAATGAGAAAAACAAACGTTTCAGCTACGTTATAATATTTGAAATCTCCTTCTGTTTGTTTAATCAATTGTGCAATCCATCTTGTTTTATCTGTCTCTGTCTTTTGAAGAAATCTGGTCACAGCACCAATCCATTTTGGAAGAGTGTGGTGATTCATATTTGATATACCAAATTTTTAAATGATAAAATTAATGTGACTGCCTGAACATAGAATTCTGTTCGATTAATTGTTTGGATTTTTGCATATTCTCTAAAACATGCATAAATGAGTCCTTAGACACCCAGACAAAGAATATTGAAAGAACCGAGGCTGATGAACCCTATAAGACAATTGAGGACAGCACAAAGTCTTAAGCAGTACACAATATGCAAACTGTTCTTAATCATTTTGTTGATCAGTCCACTTCAAAAAAAAAAGAAAGAAAAAAAGAAAAAGTATTATATACACAGATGCCACTTGTATGAAAGCACAATATATAATGTATTACTGCAGGTTAATGATCAATGTATTGTCAACTGTATACTCAACATCTTAACTTGATTTTAATTGTAAAGTAAGGATGTACTTTTGTAAAGCTGCTTTGGAATGGCAATTATTGTGAAAAGGGCGATATAAATAATACACAACTTCCCTCACAAACATTAAAAAACAAACTTGATGGGAGAATGTGCACAGCTGCAAGTAAACATATTACTTTTGTATTAAACATTGACTTTTTTTAACCACTTTAAACCATCACATGTGGCATAATAAAAAAAAATTAAAAACTATTTATTCTGGCATAGGTTTCTATGGAAAGTTTTATTTACGAGACCCCTGGTCTGTCATTAAATGTTTGACAAGTACTACAGTATGCCTGATTCAGATTCCAAACTAAAAAGATGACAGCTCACTCTTGTTTACAATTGGTGATATTTTCACTTAGTATATCTAATTTGCACTATATCTACAAAAAAAAAAAATCCATTACATACTTTTCTTTCTATAACCTTGATCAGTTTTTGCATGTCTGTAATATTTTACCTGTTCCAGCTTCCTCTGTAGTCTCCTCCTCCTCTTCTTCAGCTTACAAATACAGACACAATGACAGGATGATTGATGAAAGGCAAACATAAGCGAATATCAATTATGTGCTGAGAGCACGTGAGGACAATCAGGAAATATAATAAGTGAATAAATATAGACAAGTCTGTGCAAAGGATTATGTAAGTGTAGACCATTTGTTAAGGCTACCAGAAACATGAGATCACTGTGCAGGAATAACCCTTCCAGATAAAGGCAGGCGGACAAGCCTAAGCACCCAATCAGACTCATGATTGTGAAACCAATTGAAGCTCAGCAGGGCCTCTTGAAGTATCTATAACTAGCCTCTGGGTACACATTAGACCAAGGCTTTACAGATAATCACTAAATCTGTAGTTTCAGCTGGGCAAGAAATAAAAACAATACTCACCCTCTGCTTGTTCCCTAAAAGACCAATAAAGGAAATGGAATGAGGAATCAGGTAAGAAGTAGGGAAAAAGGATTTACTTATGATCCTTCAGATAGTCCAATACTTAAATAGTTTCCAATAGTAAACATCAAAAAGAAACGGTACTCACTCATATTCCTCTTCTACATCAGACATGATTAAGCTGAAGGAAAAAAGGAGATACAGAAAGAAGGAATAAGACAACAAGTTTATTGTAATGGCTTTAAAAACCAATGAGAGAAATAGAGAGAGACAAAACACAACAGCACAAGAACCAAATTGTTCCATTGTTCCAAAGTGCTGACAGCCCATTGGATGCTTCACATGAAGACTGATGGGGTGAGAACAGGTGGGAATGCAGAGACTAAGACAGGGCATATGAGATACATTTCTGACTCTTTCATTCACACTTCTCTACAGTTTCACATTTGGTAGAACAAGATTCATGTAGTAGTGTTTCACATTTCCGTCTTGTAAGTAGACACAGTTGCACATACAGTACGTATGTGAGATAACAAGACCTTGCTTGATTTCCCTAATTGGATCTTGAGGGTTTGATAGCAGGAACTGCAGATAACAGCAATTACTGTTTGATTGCAGTCATTAAACGTCCTCAGGCAGACTTCTCAAGTGCCTCATCTTTCACATCAGTACTGTATCATGAGAAACAACTTCATAGCTTCTATGTCATCGCTTGAGAGAATTTATGAGACATGTAGCTGTCACCGACCCTCTTATACTTTATTGTCTCTGGACAAAGGCTTCTATGAAAGCCTGTCTAAAAGCAGAGTCCTTTCAACAGCTTGCCCGCCTGTTACTTTACTAATGAGGGTTTGAGCATTTACAGAGCATGAGTTTGGTCAAACACTGTATAAAATTATCACATTACAAACTGAAGATATTCTTTGCTCTGGATCGACCCAAGCGGGGATAGACACAATTTGGAGGGAACAAGATAGGGAAAGTGCAAGACAAAAAGGCATTTTGGGGATGCAGCAAGGGTGTGGGAGGTCAGAACAGCATTAACCACAGAATTCTGATGGGATAATTTTAGCAAAGGACACAGAGGAGAATATATGAGTTAAGGTGAATCTGTACTGCTTAGAGACCGAGTTAATGATTTCATGCGACTATCTGAACACAATCTTTTTTTTTATTAAATGAATAACTAATTAAATTAGCATAAACTCATACTGGAAGAGGTCAGGAATGCAGTTCCGACCACTGTTTTGGTTCTGTCTGTAGCTATTTAATTACAGAAAAATAGGAAAAGTCTGGTTGAGGAAATCAAAACACATTACTGGATAAATAACAGCTAACATTATTAGCAAGAACAAGAACTGGAGATAACAGAAAAATCTAATATACATGCAGAATTATACAGAGAAATAAAAAGTGCTGTTCTCCACATTGAAAAGAATGCAGATATCTGAGAGGCAACAAAATGACTTTTACCTTCCGCTGATGGTAGGATAATTCACTCTGTAAAAAGATGAGACGTGGGCACCCAAAGGATGAGAGGAGAGCCCCGGTGAATTATGGAGAGTTATGTATTGCGGGACAATGGGTTGTTTTTATATGAGGACAGGGACAGATGGAGGGTGTTAGCGGCTACGGCACAGGACCATGGATGGATTAGAAATGAACCCAGGGACAGAAAGATGACCACCACAAAGGATTAGGGAAGACATGGGGAATGACCTCACACAACAAACACAGGGATATAAAAAGAGATAGAAAAAAACAAAGGGACAGTTGAGAACAAAAATAGGGCAGCGGATTTAGATACAATTCTTCCAAGAAGACATATTTTCTATTTGACACAATGTAAAATAAGGTAATGGGTAAGACGTCTTTAGGGTAATCGAATGTGCTCCCCGTCACATTCTTATGGGTACTAGTCAGGAATAAAACACTAATGTCTGAAAAGAATTGATTTTCCAACTTTCTATATTTTATCAAGACTAATCCTTGCTGTTGGCTGATCAAGTAGGGAAAATAGCGGTTTTAGGTATTGACCTTGTACACTGATGGGCCACTTTATTAGGTACACCTTACTAGCACTGGGTTGGACCCTCTTTTGCTTTCAGAACTGCCTTAATCCTTAGTGGCATAGATTCAACAAGGACTCGAATATTCCTCAGAGATTTTGTTCTATATTGACATGAATGCATCACATAGTTGCTGCAGATTTGTTTGCTGCACATGCATGATGTGAATCTCCCGTTCCACCACATCCCAAAGGTGCTCTATTGGATTGAGATCTGGTAACTGGGGAGGCCATTTGACTTCAGTGAACTCATTATCATGCTTAAGAAACCAGTCTGAGATGATTCACCCAGAACACCGGGGTTACACCCCAACTCTTTACGTGAAGTGCCATGGGATTTTTAATGATCACAGAGAGCCACTTTATTAGGTACACCTAACAGCTAGTGGTGGTGTAATGGTGTAAGGAATATTTTTTGGAACACTTTGGTCCCATTAGTACCAACTGTGTCAATGCCACAGCCTACCTGAGTATTGTTGCTGGCCATGTCCATCCCTTTATGACCACAGTGTATATTCTGATGGATACCAGTCTGAGATGATTCGCGCTTTATGACATAATGCTTTATGACATGACTGCAGCTGATCATCTTGACCATGTCTACATGCCTAAATGCATTGTGTTTTTACCATGTGATTGGCTGATTGTAGATTTATGTTAACAAGCAGTTGGACAGGTGTACCTACTAAAGTGGCTGGTGAGTGTAAGTATTGGAGAAGACAATGTGTTCACCTTGCACAATTATTCATCTGTTGGAATATTACTATGGTATAGATTTATTTATTTTTTTTGGCCAGGTAATGATATAATAGCCCTGTTAATATAAATCTTCATCTATTACACTTGTATAAGTATCATTTATCAGCTTTCAACTTGTAATAGTATAACATTACCCCCCTCCCCCAAAACGAGACATTTTCTTTTCTTAAAAACTATTTATACTTAAAACTTTTTGTAAAAAAAAAATAAATACATTTATTAACCTTTTTAATTGCTTCATTTATTAATTAATGGAGAATTATTAGGTCTTAATGGTTATCACAGCTTTGTTCAATTATATGGTTAAAACTTCACTACGATGATAAAAAAAAAAAGTATTTTCCCATATTTAAATTTCATTATTTTTTTTATTTCCCCGAATGTGGTTTTATTCACATTCCTTTTTTTATTTTACAAACCTTTTGCATGTGTGTATGCGTGCATTTGGCTAGGACAATGTGGCAACTAGTGGTAACTGGCAAAGACAGTGTTATCTATGGCCAGAGCACAGAATGGATTTCTAGAAATTAATCAAACATAAACTTTGACATAATGGTTTAATGAGCGATGTTGTCTAATAATTCCATCAATAGTGTTCTGTAGGGCACAAAAACGGAAACCAATTTCACACATGTAAAAAAAAGTATGTTTTATACTGTAGTTGTTGTTGATTACACTGTAAACAAGTGAATAAAAGAATAACAGTTTTTTGTGAAATCATAGACTTCCGGTAGTTTTCACAAAGACACGACTGGCATGGTCACCGTAAGCGTCTGGAAAAAAAAAAACAGAAAAAGGCTGTATAAGACATTCTGCTCCAGCACAAATATAAAGGAGTAAAAAGTGGCCATTAAAGGATTTAGAAAGACAACCTTAAAATACAGCACTTTAAATATGAGCAAAAAGCTTCTGATTCAGAAAAATAAAAAGTGAAACACCTGTGTGTTTGTGTTGTATTGGGCAACACTGTTTTCTTGGTCAATAAGCACGGGAAAGAAAATATCCAAGTGGAAAAGAGATGGTCGGGCAATCAGCACTAGTCTGTCTTCTCCCAAATCCAGAACAACAGATCGAGCAGATGACTAGTGAGAAGGAAACAATAAAGTTTAAAGTCTATTTCATTTTTATAGATCCAAAAAAACTGGATTACTCACCACTCCAGGAAGAAGGATCTCAGCGATCAGGTGCTCTGCTTTTCCACTTGGTGGCTCCACCAGTAAAGTGAACTCTGGACTGGAGTTAAAGAAGCACAATAAAGTTACAGATCAACCTCACAATGATAAATGATTCATCACTCTGAGCATTAAAAATATGGGCAAAACAACATCTTTGCATTCAGATTTGTCAAACATAAGAGGCAGCAAAGGCATTTGAAAGGGTCAAACCAAACATTTTACAAATGAATTCATTTAACTGAAAATAAACTTACCATTTAGCCGCTGAAGGCAGTGTGAGAGATTCCCTGTCCATAGAGAACAAAATGATTAGAGCAATTCTAGTTATAGCTGCAGCCGGATCAGGTTTAGGAAAGAGCATTGAGACGCAAATGCGTATTAACACGATGGATAGCACACACAGACAACTCAATCACTCCTATCAAATGTCACTGATATGAACAGGCCCAGACAGAATCATTGGATTTAATCAGCACTTCATTTGGAACAAAGCACTCTGTGAAACAGATGGTGCACTCAATGGTACCCTCTTATAAATCATTGCCCAATATGTTAAATAAACTAGAAGCTAACAGTGTACAGAAGCTTTTTCAGGTAGTTTATAAATATGATTTATGAATTAAGCTGTCCGTTGTATGACACTGATGTATCACTCTAAGTGTTTGAACAGTGCTTTCTAAATGGTTGGAGACTGTTGAAGCAAGTCCAAATAAAAACTATGCTTCTCACAAGTCCTGATGGGTGAATACAAACCTAAAATAAAATGGGTATATCTAAATAAAGAGTCCTCATCAGATCGTTAAAGCTATGATTATTAATAACTGCATTTGCCACCTGATGTTTTATGGTTGCTGTTTCTTGTTTCTGATGATTTTATATGTTTTTTTTTTTTTGCTCTTTTGCTCTTAACTTGGCAGATACTTTGAGCAAACTGCCAAATCTAATGTTTATTCAGTAAAGCAGAGAATTTCTTTTGCAGTGGAATTTTTACCAAGTTCATTTCCTTTGTATAATTGCTGTTTTCCCGACCAGTCAAATGGAAAAAAAGGCAAGAGCCAAGAAGGCAAGTGTGTTGGAGCACACTAAAAGCTAAAAAAAATTCTCCCCCGCATCCCATCACCTTCATCAGTCTTTCAAACAATCTCTTTTTAACAGAACTTGTGGCTTATTTTTTGCAGACATATCTGCTTTTAATACTAAACTTATTTAAAGAGACAAGGCAACTAAAATTACACTTGTGATATAGAATATCATATAATATATAACTATGTAAGACTGAATGCATTCTTTTCATCGCATGCCACTGTTTCAGCATTATCCTAGACACTATATACACATTAATTTCATGAGTCACAGCACTGAAGGGAGGTTTTCTTGAGTGTTTGTGAACATCACACACTTCTGCTTTTACATGGAAGAAAAAAGGTCCAGGTTCCTTCGCTTTAACATCAGTCTAAACCCTCTAGTTTAGTCTAACTAGAGGGTTTAGTCTAAAGACTCTTCCTAAGATAAAATAAGAAAGTCTTTTTTTTTAAGTCATGTTTCTCAAGCTGTTAATACATTTAATAAAAAAGCAATTCATGCATAAAATACCTAAAGTACAAATTACATTTAATAAAAACATTATTACGGGTGATGCTGTGTCGCAGTAGGTAGTGCTGTCACGTCACAGCAAAATGGTCGCTGGTTCAAGCCGCAGCTGGGTCAGTTGGCATTTTTGTGAGGAGTTTGCATGTTCTCCCCATGTTCGCGTGGGTTTTCTCCGGGTGCTCCGGTTTCAGTCCAAAGTCATGCGCTATGGGTGAATTGGGTAAGCTAAAATTGTCTGTAGTCTATGTATGTGAAAGAATGTGTATGAGTGATTCCCAGTAATGGGTTGCAGCTAAAAAGGCAAAAAACACATGGGTTCTAATAAATGTTATATTATTTTGATCATTATATTATGAGTGATATCATAAAAATATTTATATAATAAAAATTAAATAAAATAATATTGTCAAATTTTAAATCAAATTTAAAGTAATATTCCGCAATTTTTCTTAGCAAGGACAACTTATTACATTCCACAGTGTAATAATTAAATTTAGAACAAGGAGTATTATTATTAGAGTTGATCTCACAACACGTTTAAGCACCATTTTTCCTGTTTCCCTAAAGATACAAAGAACTTACTTTGAGTCAATTTCCTGGATAATTGGCTTGCTCTTGGTACGAATGTTTTGTTCTGCTATGGATCCCATGAACTTCCTGTTCTTCAAAATTTTTATATCTACATTAAAAAACAAAAAAACAAAAAGATTAACAAACATGAAATTAGAAGAAGACACATGCAGAGATTTTGTATTTCTTCTGACCTCTGCTTAACTCCAGGCTGTATTTGTTTTCCAAGCCTTCCAACGAAACCGCAATAAGAAACTGCTGGAAGAGGGTATCTTTCTGTCGGGTACAAGCCAAAACAGAGATGGCCATGAATGCAGATTCCTAACCCTGAGGTCATTTATAGTAGATTCATATTCGAGACACGCACCTCACATTTCTGAAAGAATTCATCATTGATCACCACATCATACACAGTACAGCCTTGTGAGCCTGGCAAAAAGAAATATTTTGATTGCTAATCTACTTTACTGTCACATAAGTCCATCAGCACGAGTTCTGGTTTTGGTTATTTATATCAGGCTTATCACACTTCCAGCAACATACTTTGGAATGGATACAGGAGACACTGATAAAAGGAAAATAGAGTGAATTAAAAAATATAATCTCATTAGCTGCATTTAAACTGTGTAAACCAGGCCTGCATAGTGTCCTGCAAATTTTAGCTCCAGCTTCCTTCAAGACACCTCCTTGGAAGTTTCTAGTATACCTAGAAAGAGCTTGATTGCCTGGTTCAGGTGTGTTTATTTGAGGTTGGAACTAAAATATGCAGGACACCGGCCCAGGTGATCCTCCAGGACCGAGTTTGGACACCCCTGGCGTAAACTGAAAATACAAAATGAAATGGAAATGTGTCACTTTTGTAAACAGGCGCATTTATAAAATGTTTTATGTTCGCATTAAGTATTTTTTCATTAAAACACAAAAATATTACAATAGAATTTCCCAGAAAAAAACAAATTCATGGCTGCTCTGAACTACAGAGGGCTTTCCGTGCCATTAATGCTTGTTTGACACACATGATGCATACCCAGTTCTATTAAAAATAATGGCTTGTGCATTGGCTCTAATTTAACTAATACTACTTACCGTATATCTGTTGCCAAGACTTTTAGAATTTGAAGCTTTAGTCCCATAAAACTGTGAGTTAACATGTAAGCTTCCATTTTGCAATGATGTTTTATTGACGTTTGGCAAATAAAGTTTTGTGCTAGTTTGTAAAGGAAACCCGCCTACTGTTGTCAACTTCTGTGTGTGGTTCGCCGAGGCTCATGGGCACTCTGTAACTCGTCGGGTCCTCTGACTCCAGTAGTTCCACCAGTGCTTCCTGGGACAAGTGAGGAGGTGGCGGTACCGTCTGTGACTGGCAGATGTTTAGAAAGACCTTCTTTTTGTCTGACACTGAGGAGGTCTTCACGCACAGACCTGGAAATGGAGCATAAATTTATGTGGGTACAAAAAATATAGTCTCAATATATATATATATATATATATATATATATATATATATATATATATATATATATATATATATATATATATATATATATATATATATATATATATATATATAATTTTTTTTTTTTTTTTTTAACTCACCAGGCTGTGGACGGATGACTTTGGAAGGGGGACTGTCGCTCTGCAATTTGCCCATGGTCTGTGAGGTTGGACAAATAAATAATATTTGAATCTTTTCTTTGCAGTGATTGAATTGTAATGAGACTGCTACTTTAAGATTAAATGTTTCCTGAAGCATCAATGTGAGGACTTTGCTAGACATTTTAACGATATGATTTCATTCTTCGATGCCTCTGTTGGCAAACACATTTACACACACTAGCGATTTTAAAAATGCCACTGTGAGGTCTCTTCTGAAAAAAAAAAACTTTTGATCCCACATTACTGGCTAGTTTTTGCCCTATTATAAACTTGGCTTATTATTCAAAGGTTTTAATGAAAGTGATTTTAAGTCAACTTCGGTCTTAATTGACAATTTCAATCTATGAAAAATCTGGTTTTAAATCTTGTCACTGTACTGAGTCAGCTTTTAGTTTTGAATGACATTGATGCAGTTGGTTTTTTTTACAACCCTTTAACTTACAAATTAAACACATAAGGGTCATGGACAATGTGTTTGCGAACTGCTTATCTCAAGCTCATTCTGTGTGATGTGACTGTTTGAGTGGGTGAGTGAGAGTTTCTTGTTTGGTGGTGGTCTTGTTATGTCTTTTCTTCTCCTTAAATGCTTTCAGGATCTGGATTGCTGGAGCATGGAAGGAGGGGGCAAGGGTCTGCCAAACTGTAACTTTTCATTACACACTTTTTCATCACAAAGAATTTTGTTAACAGTACTAATGCTTTTTGATTTACCTTGAAAAAAAGGAAAAGAGATAATTTGAGATTGAATATATTGGCATTGTTTGTGGGTTGTTTTTTTTTCTTTTTAGGAGAGGAAGAGGTTCTGTGTTTGACCTGTTTGTTTTGGTTATTTTTTGTGATTTGCAGAGTCTTCATTGTTGCTGATTTGTGGCTGGGTCATCTCACCTGATACCCATTAGGTGCTGCCTATAAAGAGTCCAACATTTAATGTGAGAGGGAGCTCGATTAGCCAGAGCTCCCTGCCTGGCGTTTTGGTTATTTTAGTTTGTTTTGGATCGTGAGCTCTGTTCACTACCACGCACATGTAACTTTGTAAAAAACCCATTATTTTATGTACATGGCCCTTTAATTCTGAAACACCCCGCTCTATGTTCATTGGTTGGTGGTATGTTATCAACTAGTTCTGTTCGCGCCAGCCAAGAGAGTGGTCGTGGTGAGTGAGTGCTCCTGTAAAATATGTATTTTTGTTGATCTTTTTGTTTTGATTAATCACAATGTATCTTTTCTTTGTGACTACAACTTTATAATCGCTAATATGCACCCATCATCGCAGGACGACATGTTAGACTGTAGAAACTGATCATTGTGTTTCTACTCTGTTTACCAGGTACATGATTTAATATTTATTACTGTGTTTCTAAACTCATGTTGTATGTTTACTTGATTATTATTTGCGCCAGCCAAGAGAGTAATTGTGGACGACATGTTAAGACTGTGGAAACTGATCCCTTTGTTTTTACTCTGTTGACCAGTACAAAGTGATCCGGCCAAGGCATGATTTGGTGTCAGTACACAATGCAGAGAAAATTTGCGTACTAACCGTCTCACACACACACTTTTCACAACTGACTTCCATTTATACTGACTTTGATTGCTTTTAAGTTTTGCTAATTATGCCTTTTGCTAATAATTTCTGATCCGCTATGTCTCTCTTATGTTACAATTTTGAGCAGGTTGTAACAGTTAACTACTGGGCACTGTGGGCAGTCTATAATTTTTGGTTCTGCCTTCAACTTAGTTGATCATAATATACTTTAATCACATCTAAAAACATGTGTTAGCCTTCATGGCACGGTGCTGCAGTGATTTAAGTTTATATCTTACTAATAGTATGCGTGTTGTTAGTATTGGAAACCAATCTTCATCCGAAATATCAGTGAAATCTGCTGGAACGCAAGGCTCAATTCTTGGTCCGATACTGTTTTCTATTCATACTGTATGCTTCCTCTAATATCAATTTTTAATAAGTATGGGGTCTCTTTTCATCTGCATGCTAATGATATGCAAATTTATATACCCTTGAAGTGTGAACTGAATATTTTTTTTTAAGTAGTTTTTTTTTTTTTTTTTCTTAGACAAATCATGGGAAAGTGCAAAAAGGTCACTCTCATGCACTAGCATACATAAATACACACTTTAACTTTCTGTAATACTTCATATAACTTCAAAATAAATCCAAAAATGAAGCTGTTTTCACATGTCTCATCTAAAAGGTTAATGATGCCAACTGATGATCCAAATGAAGTAAAAAATAACTAATTGTACCTCTTCCCAACAGGAAAAATCACCAACAATCCAAAATGCATGATTATATGATGTCATGGTTTTACAATCAAAAATGTGGTAATAATAGAAGTCAATGGGGCAAAAACAGCCACAAACAGTAAATTAGGCAGTACAAATTTTAATCTTATGCTGCACAAAAACTAACAATTCATCAAAGGCAATGTTGTTACTAATCATATGTAATCATATTTTAAAAAGTCATTTATTGCTGTGACTCAAAGCTGATATTTCAGCGCCATAACTGCAGGTTTTGGTAGCGTGGGTTAGAGTTTCATACTTTTTAGGTACTGACCAAATTTTCTTGATATCACCAAATATTGAAAAATGTCTTTATTTTGGTCATTCTGTATCAATATTTGATCAATTGATCTAGATCTCTACTGAGAAGCCAAACATGCAAATTTTCGTAAAAAGATTAACTTTAAGGATGGCAGTCGTGATCCTCGCATGAAATTGTTTATGTTAAGCTGAAGTCTATTTGAATTTATTTATACTGCTCCACCAATTCTGTGACATTGTTTATGATTTTGGCAATTAAAGAGTTAAAATGCGTGTCAAAATCAGATCATTCCGTTAGCTGGCAGAAAAAAAAGTTATGGCCAAATTAAGGCTCAAAATCACCCCAGAGTGGATGAAACATCCCCAACAGCACACAAGGTTTAAGTAGGAGTGTTTACGTGCAGACAGACTGGGACAGGCCACTCCATCAATTTTCGGGTGAACTGTCCTTTTAAATCTTAATTTCCACTGCTTGACTTGTGAAGGTAAACAGCTGAACTTGGACTCCAGCCTCATGTTAATAATCAGAGAAGTGCTAGAAACAACTGAAAGAACTAATTTAAGGTCTGAGCTGATTTACCTGAAGCAGAAGTTGTTGGTAAAGCTCTTCTTGTTGTTTCTGCTCGTGTTCAACACCGAGGAGGAGAGACGCGTCCGTGTCCATGACTACACACATGGACGCACACGACAAATGATCATTGAGGTAAAGTTGGGTTTATGTTCGCACATTCATTCATTTGTGACACGGTACTTTAAATATTCGTTCTGAAAGCTCATGCGAGACTTCAAAACAACATTAGCACTAACGTTACTGTCAACTACTTGTGCGTTGATCATTGGCTGCTAATATGATTTCCCTACCTGGAACTTACAGATAATACTTTTCTGAAATTACATTATTAAGGAGAAAGTTTTAATATAATATAAAAAAACAACTTTACCTCTAGTAAGCATTATAAAACTATTAAATAACCAACCAGGTTGTCAATGAGAGTGGAGACTCTAAAGTTATGTTTAGGACACGATATACTCACTGAGTGCCTCAGACATGCAGTAAAATGAAATGTTTTCACTGACTGTTCCGGTTCAGCGTGACGTTTCATGCGCCTTTCTTTTAGCTGTGTCAAAATAAAAGTCATTCTTCGAAAGAGAAAGTATATATATATATATATATATATATATATATATATATATATATATATATATATATATATATATATATATATATATATATATATATATATATATATATATATACTGGCCAAAAAATCACAGCAGCGTCTCTACTTCCTCCGCAAACTCAAAAGAGCAAGAGCACCAGCCCAATCATGTACTCCTTCTACAGAGGCACTATTGAGAGCATCCTGAAAAGCTGCATCACTGTGTGGTTTGGAACCTGCAATGCATCCTGCAGGAAAACACTTCAACGTATAGTGAGAACAGCTAAGAAGGTCTCTCTCCCCTCCCTCCAGGACATTTACAGCACACGTCTTAAAGCCCTCTGCACAACAGCAGATGCCACCCACCCAATGCACAGCTTCTTCAGTCTGCTGCCATCAGGGAGGAGACTGCGCAGTCTCCAGGCCAGGACCAACAGACTGAAAGACAGCTTCATCCATCAGGCTGTCAGGAAGCTGAACTCTCTCCCAGCTCTGCTCCCCGCTTTCTCCCCACGCATCTCCTCCCCTCGCACCTCTGGACTCTAACACACACACACACACACACACACACACACACACACACACACACACACACACACACACACACACACACACACACACACACACACATTGCTATATGCCCTTAATGTCACTGTATTGTTTACAATTTTATTTTATTACCTATGTATATTTTTTAGACCACATTCTATGTACAATACTGTAAATTTTCTTTTTCTTTTCTTAAACTCTACTATTTTTTATATATATTTTTTTATATTAATGTTAAGCACCTTGGGTCTGAGAGTAACACAATTTATTTTATATATATATATAACTTTAGTTGATGTGTTATGTAGCTGTGTGAACAAACAACATCTCTGAATGTGAAAAGTTCTAAGTTCAATGCAAAGGGAGACCTTGGTTTTTACAGAGTTAACTTAGCAAAGCCTACAATGAACGAATTTTGGGGACTACAAAAAATACTTCCGCCCCCTGTGAGATCACAAAGGTTCGTTACTGCGCATCCAAACTGAGCAGGTAAGGGCCGTGGTAAGGGCAGGTAACGTTATAGCAGAGATGAAGCTAAAAATGCGTCTAAACACGGCTGTTTCCACAGAGCTTCGTCTGTTTCTTTGGGCTTCCAAAGGACACGACACAAAGACAGAAGTGCTTACAGTTCAATACTAATTATGTTCCAGAGAATTATAAAATACACAGCAAGCATGATTTGACAAAACAGCTCCAGAATCTCTCCCAGTTCAGTGCTGGATTCGGCTAAAATCTCCTCAAAGCAGAAGCTGTGAGCTACAACCTGTAAGTGTTTTTATTTGTTAAAATTGATCGTGACATGTACAGTGTCTAGCGTTAACGGTACGCTGTACCAACAATGTAAACAATGCGAAATGCTGCTTTGCAGGCAAACGATTTAGCTACAAATTCCTATTTATCAGTCAAACTGCTGTAAACACACACACACACACACACACACACACACACTCCACCAGCACGTTCGTGTCTCTTATGTGTGTGCGCGCGACTGCATAGATTGTCCTCAGACAGCTTTTCCATGCGTTTCACATCTCAGAAAATTAAGTTGCAAAATATATGTGGATGATTCATATTACTTACACCTGCATGATCCAGATACACGTCCATTCACACCACACAAACACATAGACGCACACGCTAACACTCTTAAAGGAGCCGCACCCCATTTTCACTCGTTACAGACACTTGTCAGATTTTTTTTTTATAGAGAGCAGGCAGGAGATTAACTGATTGTTTACACAGCAAAAAAGCGCGTGCTTTTACGGGCGTGACGTGGAGCCGATCTGCGAACAGCAGCACATTATAATGATGACCAATCAGAGTCACTTAAGGGCGGGCCTTTCAGAGGAACTAGGAAATAGGACAGTCGTTTTCACGTTAGCTGAGTGGCTGTGTATAATCAAAGTGAGATATATGAAAAAATAACGCAATTTATTTCAACTTAAACATGAGCACACATTGCTTTGCATCTTATAAACATAAACAAGCCTTAAAATTACATTCTGGACCACCCCTTTAAATTGTAGTTTTCTTAAAAGCAGGGTTCGACAATAAGCATGACCCGATATTTGTGCAAATGTGGTCTTAGAATCGAGAAGCAGCACGACTGACAAAAATAACTGTGTTCGCGCAAGCAAAACAGCAAAAAAAGGTAAAACGAGAGGATGATCACTCGCGCGCACAGGTGATGTGACGCGCGCGACTGTTAAAAAGCGTGTGCTTTCTCGTTTACTTGCGTGAATCCCATGCAGGCCCGGATTGGCTAATCGCGAGGGCCGGTGTCCCTAGCTCCAGAATCTGTTGCTCTCAGCAGTCAGACTTTTTAAATTAATTTATTTATTTACTTGACCACAGTCTTCTTATTAATTTTTTTTACCGCAGCTCTGCTCTTTTTATATATAACCAGCCTGCAGGTTAATAATGATATGAGTCACTTTTCACTGTACAACTGTGTGGTCCAGTGGTTAGCACGTTAGATTACAACGTCACCGACTCGGGTTTGATCCTCGTTTGAGTATGTTATTACTTTCATTCTTATTGTTGAGACATATAATACTGTTTGGGTTGTTGAACATTTGAAGTTCTAAAGCAGCTGTTTTCTCAAAAAAAAGACGTGATAGTGTAATTAGAAACTGAATTTTGTAAATGACCTTATTTTAATATAGTCAGTCGTGAACTGAGGTGGGCCGGTCTGAGGCTTGAAACTCCAGGGCTGAAAAGGAGTCCCACTCCGGCCCTGAACCCATGCCTAGAGGAAGCGCAACTGATGCGATCGGTTCCCTTTGAAATAGACTGGACAAAGAGTGATGATCGTGCACCCACAGTCCTGCTGCTTTCGAGAGCTCAAGATTAAAAAAAAAAAACATATTCTTTTGTAAGCAGCAGCAGTCACTGCTTTCATTTTAATTATTCTTTGAACAGATTAACAAGCCTATATTAACCGTGTGCGCGTAAACATCCTTTCATTATCACACACGCTATGTTTCACCTGATTTCTTTTGCTTAGTTAGTTTTGTTAATATGGTTTAATTATATTTTTTACAATAACATTGCTTTAATGGGAAATTACTCCCCTTTTATGTGTAGTTAACTGCTGATCTGGGACTTTTAGCAAGGACCGATTACTGTGCATATTTTAGAGACATGAAAATACTTTTTTTTTATTTTTTAAATTTTTTTAAAGAAAAGTTTTTTGAATTAAAAAGTGCACCTATAAAGCTATATTTTCCTTGTTTTTACACATTAAAAATTGTGGCTAAGAAATACTTATTTGGTGTGGTCAGAGATAAATTTGGTAAATCCTTAATTTTGAGCCGTAAAAAGTCCTGTGAACTAAAAACTAATTGCATTGCGACAACCCATTTGCTCATGCACACTGAGCAAGCTAATACACACACACAAGAAGTTAAATAAGTAATATTGACAGTGGTCTCAGATAAATAAACAACTGATATTTTCTAAAAATGTTTTGTGTACACACACATACACACACTTACACAAACACACACACTAACCGACCGGTTTATTAGGTACACCTTAGGTACAAAGGTTTGAAAACTGTTGCTTTCAGAATTACCTCAATCTTTCGTGGCATAGATTCAACAAGTTACTGGAAATATTGCTCAGAGATTTTGTTCCATATTGACATGACAGCATCACGCACTTGCTGCAGATTTGTCAGCTGCACATCCATGATGTGAATCTCCCGTTCCACCACATCCCAAAGGTGCTGTATTGGATAGAGTTCTGGTGACTGTGGAGGCCATTCTGAGATGATTGGAAGTAGCCATCAGAAGATGGGTACACTGTAGCCCATCCGCCTCAAAGTTGGATGTGTTTTACGTTCAGAGATGCTCTTCTGCATATCTCAGTTATAACAAGTGGTTATTTGAGTTACTGTTGCCTTTCTATCAGCTCAAACCAGTCTGGCCATTCTTCTTTGACCTATGGCATTAACAAGGCATTTGCACCCACTGAACTGCCACTCTGGATATTTTCTCTTTTTCGGACCATTCTCGGTAAACCCTAAAGATGGTTGTGTGTGAAAATCCCAGTAGATCAGTGGTTTCTGAAATACTCAGACCAGTACTAGCATTTAGCTTAAAGTGGCATTTAAAGGCTTAACTAGGTTAATTAGGTTAACTAGGCAGGTTAAGGTAATTAGGCAAGTTATTGATGGCTTGTTTTGTAGAAAATCGAAAGAAATTTGCTCAAAGAAAGCTAATATTATTAATCTTGAAATGTATTTTAAACAATTAAAAACTGCTTTTATCCTAAATAAAATAAAACAAGACTTTATATACACACACACAGCAAATGTATTATCATTATTATTGTCATGGCATGGGTTTTTTAACGGATGCCCGCTCCAGGATAAAGTAACAAATATACATTCTTATGTCTTTATGATTATTGATATAGTTGAATGTTTAAGGGCCTATAATAGATTATATGATGACCTTAGTGTCATCCCACAACAGAGTAAAACTGGAATAATATGTGTGTCATGCTTTTTCTGTACCTTCAATGGACCTGGACTCTTGAAGAATTCCTGAGTTATGTACCATTTTATGTGTTAAATCTTTTAAAGTTAATTTTTTTGTATGTAAGCTGCCAGTTTTGATGTAGATTACTCAGTTTTTTTTAACCAGTTTTGACAAGACAGCTGAGAGTACACTCAGCCTTGGGTGAAACAGATTGTACTTTGTGTGTGTGAGTTTTCTATTCATTTTTAATAATTTTACAGGTCTGGGGTCAGCTATGAAGTGAGATGTCGTCAGAATTAAACATGCGCACATACATGGAAATTTTCTTAGTCTATCTGTGTTTTAATCAATCACATATGTACAGTATAATGCAGTTAATGACGTTATGTGAGTATAATTGTTGATGTTTTGAGATTGTAAGCAGAGTGGCTTACAAACTCATTTGCGAGTGTTGAAACTTCTGCTGATGAAACTACAAACTATCTTCAGTAAACTTGAATCTTTGAAGCTCTTCATCTGATGCACTGGCTATTTCTTGGGTAAAAACTTTAAAATTTCCCTACAATTATTATTATTAGTATTATTATTAAATGTGCTGCATATGGAGAATGTGGAGCATGAATATGAATATGAAAATTAATAATACATTCTTTATAACATAACCCCACCGGAGTAATGAAGACAAGTTGCAATGAAATGCTATTCGATTTTTAATGAGAACTTTTTTGTGCCATTTAATAGGGTTTAGGATGCACATAATAATATTTTTGATTTTATACAAACAAAACTGCAAATAAACAACACATTTACACAAATGCATCAATATAAAAATATAATAAGCAATCTGAGATACCCAGAATAAAACACATAAAGGCTATGTACAAAAACACAAGAAAATATAAAAATAGCAAAACAAAGTACATTAATACAAAAATTAACTGCTTTAAAAACAATGTACATATAACAATAATTGTAGAGTACTTTAGCTGTAAAGAGTTTTCCGTCCCTTTCTTAAAGACCTGTCTTTAGCGTGCAGTCACTCCTGAGTGCTGAAGGGTCCTTTCTTAATCCATATCTTATAGCTAACATGATCATCACAGAGCAAACAACATCAAAAAACATGAATAGAGGTGCTTGACAGATAAAAGAATATAACAGTTATAGAGGGGCACTCATAGGTGGACATATACAGAAGCTGTGTTCAAACACTTGAGCATATTGATTTAATAAGCTGCACTTGGATGATTTTGTCAGCCGCCGGTTCAAAAAGTACAATACCATGCAGGTTTTTTTTTTTTGTAAGATCAACAGGAAGGAGACGGGGGACCATCACTGTGACAAAACAAAACAAAATAATCGTCTGTTTTATTAAATGTAATTAAAATAATGTTTTTACACTTTTTGAAAAGGCTGAAGGTTGACATTACCAGAGACATGTGCTTTCCAATGGTGAATGCAAGCGGCTCAACTCATTTACTTCAGCTGTCTGTAAAAAAAATCACTTTCCTTAATTGCCTAATAACATTTTTTAGCGAGTGTATATACTGGAAACATTTTACTCATGACTGAAAAACATAATTTTTAGAGTTGTGGATTAATAGCCTCACCCCTTGAGAACCTCTTCTCTGTAAAAATATAATTTAAAAATTATACAAAATCCAAAGATTTCAATGTTATACAAATTTAGAAGCCACATTAATTATTGTGTCTAGTTTACCTTGCGATTCCACAAATGTGACAGGAGTAGAAAGACATTGAGTAGTAGAGAGACAGCAAAGGCCACAGAAATTGTTTTAATGGTAGCTAGAAAACACAAAAGAAATATGCTGGTTTACAAAGAGATTTATCAGACGAGGATGAAGAATGTCTAGGCAAAATGACTGCTCAGAAAGACCAACTGCTATTAGACTTACTCTGGAGATTCTGATTTTCAGCTATTACTTTCTCATCTGTAATACAAAAGCCATACACAAACATTACAAACTAAGGTTAGCATCAGCATATTGCACAATATTATACATGTATTCATGAGAAAGTATAAAAGAAGAGGTGTGTTGGCTTCTGTAAGATGAGCTTACATGGTAATTATTAAAAAAATATATTGGTATAAATGTTTAAATAATTTTTTATTTATATTATTAATATATTATTATATTAGTTTAAAATGAATAAGTATTGCAAATCAGTTAGTGTCAACATTCCCTTTCACACATACACACCTTTATGGAAAATTACTGGTAATTTGCAGTAATGAAATCATGGGCCCTATTATACACTCAGCGCAATAAGGCGCAAGACGTGTTTGGAGCAATTTGTTGCTATTGTGAGATCAGCGCAACCCTAATTTTCATGTTTTGCACCGCATTGTTTAAATAGCAAATGCATTTGTGCCACTTTGTGGACTCATGGGTCTGCTGGTCTATAAAGGAGGTGTGTTGAGGCGCATTGTTGGCGTCTTGCTATTTTGAAGAACTGGAGTAGACCGCACCATTGACCAACTAAAAGCTGCTCTAAAGTCCAGTGCAGAATGCGTTAGTTATGTGCCTATGCTTACACATAGTTTAATACACACAGGATGTACAGCAATACACAAATATCTTTAAATATGAAAAATTAAAGGATTAAAATGTTACATAAATTATTGTTTTCTACATAAATATAAAAAACTCTGCCTCCATGCCTTCTTCATCTTTGTGTTTAACAAATGTAATTAAGCATGTAGGCTAATAGATGTCTGCAGTGGAGTGCGTACAACACCATCTCCTTTTCCGTAAAAGGAGTAAAAAGTAAAGCTAAAATAAAGATAAAGGCTGTGTCCGAAACCACCTATTACTCAGTAGGTACTGCATTTGAATTTAAACGTACTACTCGGTTGCTAGAAAAGTCTGTTCTATACAGTATGAATGTGAAAAGTATGAATGGAATTCGAACGTACTAAATCCGCCATTTTGTCATGGTCACGTGACATACCTGCGACAGTTGCGTCGCTTTACTCCCTTTTGTAAATTCGCTCGCAGGGCAATCATTGGATAGTGCAGCATGCCTGGGATGCGCACTCCAGAATCTCGCCGGAAGTAGTAAGTCATCCGGGTACTTCTCGCATACTGATTTTTGCATTCTATGAATTCAGACATATTATCGTCTCGCATACTGATTTTAGCGTATTGTATAGTATGGAAGTATGCGGTTTCGGACGCAGCCAAAGTAAAGAGGTTGAACGTAAGAGGCTCGTTCTTTATCCTTGCGCTGCAGATGGTCTGTTTAACTTGCTAGTGAAGCATTCAGTTTTTGCACTTACAAAGTCTGCCATGTAAATAGCAAATGTGCCATGATGCGATTTAACTGACTCTTAAAGACCATGGGAGAAGAGTCTCTGATTGGTTTAATGCACGTTATTCTTAAAACACACCCATAACTCTTTATGCTGTGTTCACACCAGACGCGGCACGCGCGAGAGATTTACATCCTAAGTCAATGCAAACGCGCGAATAGACATCCTGCGGCGCGATACGCGTGAATGGCGTGGCGCGAATGACAAGAATTGCGCGGTGCGCATGGCGCGAATGGCGTGGCGCGAATTGAGCGTTTTGCGCGTTTCACGTGCTTACAGCGCATTTCGCAGGAACCACTCGCGTTCGAAAATCTGAACTTCAGCGGACATTCTTGCCGCGTTAACCAACCAGGAGCTTGCTCTTGTGGGGGCGTGATTGTGACGTATCGTCTGTTGTCAGGGTCCCAGGGGAAATCCCCCAGCAGACACCGACAAGAAGTTCATCAAACTGGGCTGGACTCAGTAAGAAGCACCGCTGAAAACCTCCATCAGCCAGGTTCAGTTTCTGGAGGAGTCTATAAGCTTAAAGAGCTGGATGCACCTCTGAAAGGATGTAGTGGACTTAGACACGGCTCTAAACGTATCGACAATGTTTATCATCCTTCATAAAGCACATAAACACTGTTATTTTCTTCATAAAATCCATGTTAGCCCTTTAGCTATGAAGCTGGAGTCACGAGGCAGACAGAAGCCCTGCCCATCACGCGAATCCGCATCTGTTCTGAAGTGAATTTAACACGCGAATGAAGCGGGGTTTGACGCGCGAATGAAGCGAGTAACCTCAAATGTTCATGCGGCTATTTACTCGCGAATAGCGCAATTTATCTGCGCGTTCCGCGTCTGGTGTGAACACAGCATTAGACTTTAGACTTTGCGCTTAGATCATTAAAATAGAGCCCCATGTGTGTAAAAGGCCATTTTTTTAATACTGAAGAATTTATTTTGGCAATTTTCCAGAATGATTAGTGGGAACATTACTTTTTTTATTACTTTTTATTTTAGATTTACTGCTAATGGTGTTCCAGTACATTTACTATACCAATATTACTGTGTGAAAGAGACTATAGTCACCACTTTATAAGGTGCACCTATGTGTTTGCTTTATGCTAAATATTAGATGAAAAAACAACAAAAAAGAAAAACTAATAACCATCGGGCTAAAATACATAATTTACCCCAGAAAAATCTAAAACACACTATTATGGATGTGTTGAATATTACTGTACTGTAGGCAATGCAAAGTGAAAATAATGTGGAGGGACAAAGCAAAGTGATCTCAAAAGAGCTTTTGCCACAGATATATTTGTGATACTTATGTTGTGTTAAAATACCAAACGTCATGTATTTCTCATTCAGTTTATACAACAGATCATGAATTTAAGCTCCCAAAACCAGAAGTGCAACATAATTTGAAATGAAACATGTAGAAAAAGGTAGATGCAGATGGCACTTTTATAGACAACATATAAAGATGAGGAAGGAGGAATGTCACTTAGGACAGAAAAAGACTAGAGTGCAACAGTCTGTTCTTTTACCTAAGAAAGTGGACACTGAGTGTTGAAAGACATGAAAAGCACCAAGTGTTGAAAGCGTTATGTTACAAACTACAAATGAAGCGGCTCTGCTTTTATAAGACCCAAACTTACAGATTGATTCTTTAGGTGAGGATGAAGTTGTCAATGAATCTACAATTGTCTGATCTGCAAATCAAAATATTTCCAGTTATTATTATTTTTTAAATGTAAACAAAAAAAGGATTAAATGCTCTTGAACTGAATGTAAATGTAGGGCTTTTCACACCTGAAATAGTTAACATGTTAGTTCACCCAAAAAAGAAAATTCTGTTATTAATAAGGTGCGCACAGTGTGTAAACAAAAGTGTGTACAGCATACAGTTGAATCAGTGAAGTTACATGAAATGTTTTAACAATGTTTTTGGTTACGTATCTACACTTTTATTAAAGTCTCTGGATCATCGCAGTCTATGAAGGACAAGGGCGTTCTCGGATTTCATCTTAAATATCTTAATTTGTATTCCAAAGATGAACGAATGTCTCAGTAGATTAGAACGTCATGAGAGCGAGTAATTAATAACAGAATTTTCATTTTTTAGGTGAAATAACCCTTTAACCATGGGACATTCTCAACCCCAGTAAACTAAAATAATCATTGTTGGCAAAACTGAATTATGTAATGCAAAAAATGCTTGTTTTTCCTAGAATATTTACTTCTCAGTGTAACCAGCTTCATAGCAGGGCTTTCATAACCCTGAATATAAAATGATTACATGTGAAGTGTTCCCTTACTCAGATTAAGAATAATATAACCTAGGGTTAAGCATACTGTAAAAAGCCATACATTGTACATAATTCAACACTAAAATGTTGTTGTTTTAATGCAACTTTACAGATGGGATTGCACTTCAGTGCTGAATTTGCTTACTTTCAGTTTGGGGTGTAAAGTTTGGGGTGACCGCCGTAGAAGATGTTATACCTGTATGTGATCAAAATAAATGGCATGGTTTCAAAATCTGTTGACTCACATGATATGGAGGGTATTTGTGCTTTACTTTTGTGTTTTATGTGAACTTGCTTACTTCCATTGTGAACTGTGTACGTTGAACTGACTGTCGTTAAAAATGTTGTTCCTAAGTGATTTAGTAGAGAGCATGGTTCACAGTCAGCTTCATCAAAACAGAACAGCTATAATACGTTTTCATTGCAACAATTAATAATACTACAAGTTCAGAGTAATGTTGATTTGTATTTTGTTCAAAGGTTCGTTCAAGGTTTTAATCCCTAGGCAGAGTATATGTTTGTTTTGACCCTTCCCCATATCTCTCTGCTGTTACATTACTTTTTGTGAATTGGTTTTATTCTGTGAGCCACAAAATTTAATTCATCTTTTTTTCTATAGCGCTTTTACAGTGTAGATTGTGTCAAAGCAGCTTCACATAGAAGATTATAGTCAATTAAAACTGTGTCAGTCCAGACAAGAGCAAATCCATCGATGCGCAGCTCCACAAGTCCCAAACCAAGCAAGCCATTGGCGAGGAAAACACTTCACTAATCGGCAAAAGTGAAGGATTAAAAAACCTTGAGAAAAACCAGGCTCAGCTGGGCAAGACCATATCTCCTATGGCCAAATGTCTTGTGCAGAGCTGCAGTCTAGGCGCCGGAGGCTGGAGAACGTTGGACGTCCATCGTGGAAATGAACTTCTGTGGTAGGGCTCAGATACAGTAAGTGCTTTCTGAAATCTTTTTTTTAATTATTATTAATATTTAGGGTCTTTTTCACCTTTTTTAAAAGAGAGTAAAGACAGGAAAGCATTGGGAGCAAGGGGAGAAAGGGGAAGGGTCAGCAAAGGACCTTAAGCTGGGAATCAAACTCAGGTCGCCACAAGCACCGTAGTGCTGTATGCTGACATGCCTAACATTTATGCTATTGGTGCAACAGCTCTCCGATCTCATCTGGTTCAACAAGTAAAAATCCCTTAGATAATTTTTTTTTTTAAAAATAAGAGAGAGAAAGAGGTACTGCTTACTAGGCTGGGTTTAATCACCCTGTGTTAATGCACGTTTTAAGAAACCAGTCATAGAAATGCCAAATTCTAATTAAAATCCCTTAATTGACAAATAAGTTTTAATACTAGCTTGAGGTGGTTTTCTGTTAATGTGTTAAAAATGATTAATGCAAATAATATGAGATGAAAAAGCATTTTGCTGTATAAACTCTGATGTAGTAATCATTACACCCACCTGACTAATCAACTGTCCCTAATATGCTGCCTTTGTTTTTTACCTTACCAATACTTGATGGAAATGCACCTAATTCACATTTGGGATTTTTCTTTTTTTGGCAAAAAAAAAAAAAAAAAAAAAAAACATCAAAAAATTTGCTTTACATTTTAGATGGAAGCCTGGCTAATGTCATTATTTTAATAATGCTTTTTGTTTACTGCAGGGGTCACCAACCCTTTTTCTAGAGAGCTACCTTCCTGTAGATTTCAGTTACAACCCTGACCAAACACACCTGTGTATGATTACCAAGTGCTGTTCAGGTCCTAATTAATTGTTTCAGGTGTGTTGGATTAGGGTTGGAGCTGAACTCTGCAGGAAAGTAGATCTCCAGGAACAGGGTTGGTGACCCCTGGTTTACCGTGTGTTTAGTTCATGCACATTCAAATAGTAGATGTGAAACAATGATTTAAATAATGTAATATTTATATTTTAATGTAGATAAACTAACGATTTATTTAAAAAAAAAACAAATGCTTGTTAACAGTGTATATAAAGTAAACTTACTTTTAAAAGCAGTGTCATTAGGGCTGATAGTTGTGAAAGGTGTTGTGCCTGTGTGATGACAAAATAGCAATATATTACACACAATTTCAAGACAGCAAGAAATAAAGCAGGTAGTGACTTTTCTGAAGGTACACAGTTGTACCTAAAGGATCCATGTTGATACCTTAAGGCACAGGTGTCCTGGAGGGCCACAGCTCTAATCAGTTTAGTTCCAACCCTATTTAATCACACCTGATCAAGCTAATTGAGTCCTTTAGGCTTGTTTGAAACCTGCAGGTAAAGCTGGGGTCACACTAGAGTTTGAGCATGTGGAATTCTGTAGTATGGAGCTACGAAAGGGGTGGGATTAAACAAGATGATTGCACATTTAAAAAAGCAAGCGAGTGGTTCATATTTAAAATTTCTTTCCAGAGAGGTCATGCTTTGATCCTTGATTGGTCTCACGCAGTCAAGTGATGCGATTTCGCAGGTCAGAGTTCACCAAGCTTAAACTTTGCAATTCAGCGAATTGCGAAACTTGGCGCACAAACTTGAGTTTCCTGTCTGATGCATTCGCATGCGTATGAATGGAAGTCTATGGGGAGAAAAGTGCAGTGTGACTGCAGCTTGAGTGTGTTGAAGCAGGGTTGAAACTAAACTGTGCGGGGCAGCAGCCCTCCAGTATCTGAGGTTTGACACCCCTGCCTTAATGGTACATATTAGTACAGTTCCTACAAATTTCAAAAGGCATAAGATTGTACTGCTGTCAATATGAACCCTTTAGGTACAACAAATGTATACCATGTCAAAAAGGACCGCCCCAGAGACGGCTGTTCCTTTATTTCTGAGAGTATACTGATCTTGTAATGTGTTACACAGGACACACACACATATATAAAACTTTACATTTATATTTATTGCATTTAAATTTTAAAGTACACTCTCACAAATAAAGGTATGAAAGCTGTACATTTTGTTGTAAATTCAGACCAAATCTCACAAATCAAAAAACACATTCGTTTGTGTACCAAAATTATAAGTTTGTTTCTGCCATTAAATAAAACTGTTAAAAAATTGTGACTTTTTGTCTCACAATTTTGACATTTCTTCACAAATTATGTTAACTTTACGTTTAAATCTTGCAGTGCTTTGTTAATATCTAAGTTCAAGATTGCTTCAATTAAAGATTCAATTTCAATTCAATTCAAAATTCTAAAAAATGTCACAATTCCCTTTTATTATTATGTGGCAGAAATAGGCTTTTATAAAAAAAAATCAGTTATTGATTAAAACAATTTGAGTTTTCCTTTTCTTAATATTTTATGTTCTAGTAAAGTTTAAATCCACAACTTTTACAAAGAATGAGTGGGTGTAAGTGTAAAAAATATGTTAAATACTGTATCAGTATTCAGAGATCAGATTCATGATCAGTGTTTCTCAACCACGTTCCTGGAGGACCACCAGCTGTGCACATTTTCCATGTCTCCTTAACCAAACACACCTGATTCAGATCATCAGCTCATCAGCAGAGACAGAAATACCTGTAATGGGTGTGACAGACAAAGGAGACAGCCAAAACATGCAGTTCTGGTGGTCCTCCAGGAACATGGTTGAGAAACACTGCTGTAGATGTACAGGTAAGGGAAATTAATGCAATTAACTTACTATCTGATGGGCACTTCAGATCTAGGGGGAAAAAATCTAATTAATGAATTTGTTCTGCAAAAAAAAAAAAAAGGAAAAAATGCAAGTGTAGATGTCCATACCTGATACTGAACTATTGCAAGAATGTAGATACATATCACGGAATGTCCTTTTATTAACATATCTTACTGAGGAAGCATCCATGCAGGTGTGTGTGGCACAAAAGTTGGTGATGTTATTGTCTAGATACTATATACAGGAACAGAAAAAACATGAAGTTAGAAGTGATTACATTTCATATTTTACATAGAACGATAAAATATGATAGAAAACATAGTATACACACCTTTAGCATGATTTCAAATGTTTCCAATACACGGAATTTTTTGTCTTTGTTGTTATTTTTGGTCATGTATGAACAAAGAGTATTTATGACTGTTAGAAGCTTGGATTCCTAAGAAAACATTCACACAGAACACACTTATTAAACATGGAGCTATCACAACCAAATCAAAACAATTGTTATTTAACAGATAACCAGCTAAATGTACACATATCTTACCTAATTACTTACAAAAGCTTTAAAGTTTTATTAATATTGAAATTAAATAATTATAGTTTGACTGCTAAATGAGTGCTCAGTTTTAATACAACACTAAAGTATATATTTTCAGTACAATAGATGTGCGACATCAATAAACATCTCTCAAGTACTGATTATTATAACGCATTATTATAAATTGGACATTATAATCTTCATTCCAGTTTGCACTGTTAATGCATACAATTGCACTTAATCTGCTCCGGCCATTATACTGTTGTTTGCACATAAATCAATAGGCACTTTTTGCATAATAAGCATAATTTTTAACAAATACTATACATTGTTTACATCTGTTTACATTACCCCACAATCAGTATTATATATTATTTACATATATACATACACACACACACACACACACACACACACATTTCATAGATATACTTCTGTCACTTCTGTGTATATATGCGTATGTCGTGTATGGTGTGTATATTATGTGTATGACTTCACTGTGGATGGCAAATTAAGAATTTCATAGTACAGGGAAACTTGTTTCCTTACTGTGCACATGACAATAAATAAATAGAATTGAATTGAATTGAATGCATGACTATTGCTAATGCTACAACTATAAATAAAGAAAACAGAAACAGAAAAGTCATCTTACATTGTACTTACCTTTGTCTCAGATGAGAATACCTTAATCTCAAACACATGGTCTTCCATCAACTCGTTAATCTATAATAATTTAAAGAAGACATTTAAGAAATCACTTAAATGTAAGAACAGATAGCAAGTCATAAACAAAATATGTCAGTAGGGTGTTCAGGATGTCATTTAGTACCATGGAGGTTTATTTGTAAAAAAATATATAATCTCACTTGCTTATTATCAGATTACTTCTTTCAAGTGACTATAAAGTAATGCATTACTTTTTCATTTCAAGTAAATATCTGAGTGATTTTTCTAAAAGAGTAATGGCAGCTAACTGCAAGAAAATAATAGAATGACAAAGATTAGACTCACCAGGTGTTCCTCAATATCTTGTTGCATACATTCAGCTTGGATATGATGAATAAATTTGATGAGTGATAATACCTTTGATGGAAAGGGCAAAAATCAAGTCCCATTTGTAGATAATTCATTAAAAAATAATTATTTTGTTAACATTATGACTAGTTCAGCTCTTCTTGTAATACAATAACCTAAGTCACACTACAATTCACTGAAATGCATCCATTTTGTTCCCAGGACCTGTACTAACATGTTATTGCTTAATAATTACTCACAATGATCAGTGTCCAAACTTTCCCAATCATTACGGAGTCTTCTTAACCATTAGAGTTCAGCTCCATATGTCACAATGTTGTTGTCTTGCTGGATGCAACAGAAGTGAAGATAAGAGAAAGTATTTAGAAAATGACAATATCAGTGATGTGCAGTTAAAAACAACTAAGCATTGGGCAACAAATCAATTTAATTTCCTCACACTCAAGTGGTTCTAAACATTTATAATTTTTTTCTTCTGTTGAATATAAAGCATTATATTCTGAAGAATGTTGTAAAAAAAGCTGCCTAAATACAATTCAATGGCTGTTTTTTTCCCACCATTTTCAGTATCTTACTCTGTTCAACAGTTGTTGTGTTTTTTTGTTTGTATTTTTTACTTCGTAATGTTCTCTGCGCACCACTTACATATTAGCAAGACATTTGTATACATCAAAGAAATAGGTTATTATCTAGTGCTGGATCTCCAATATATTGTCTGTATGTGTTTATCTACTTGTTTGATTTGACCTTTATTTTTAGTACTGCACAGATATTTAATATTTTTCTTAAATGTTTTTAAATATCTATGGCACAATTTGTATGAATAAATAAAACCTTTAAAAATAAAATTGTACAAAGCTCAAAACTAATTTAATGCTTAGCTGTAACAAAACTCAACACTCATTAAAAGGTTTTTTGAATACAGCTTGACAACAGATTTCAATAATAGAATGGTAAAAACAGGCAGCGTCAAAACTAGGGATGGCTGACGTGAAACTGACGTTTCGACACAGTGTCGAGATCCCGAAGCACAAGTGTTTCAATTTACTGCACCGAAGCATGATCCGAAACACCCAGGTCACGTGACTAAAGTGTTTCGAAACACCTGGTCACGTGACTAAAGCAATTCAAAGCATCGATCTGTTCAGAAGCGTTGCGAGACCTGAATCTGCTTTTGACTGACAGGGTCAGAAACAATTTCTGTCTTATTTGGCCTAGTGAACTGTGCATGTGCAAGTTGTTACTGTGCTCCAAATGACTTTTGGGTTTGAATCCTGACTTGTACAAATACTCCAAAATCGTGATTTTATGTATTTTAATAATGTTACTGTTTTATGGTGTAGTTTAGATAGGATTCAGCTGCTGATACTCCATCAATTTAGCATATTTTTTGTAAAACTGTAAAACAATAATAAATATTTTTACAGCACTGTGATGGTTGGGTTTAGGGTTTGGGTAGACGTTAATAAAATAAAATTAGAAATTTAATGAATAATATAAATAATTCTTGTTAAATTCTGGTCTGGTGTCTGGTCTAGTTTTACAAGTTTTATGACCAAAACAAGACATATTTGTTCACAAAGTGCTTATACAGATGTCAAACCAATGTTGAAACAAAACAATACAAGAACAAAGCAATTCAAACTGATATTAAAGCATTTGAAAATAGCTATATCCGCCTGGATTCGAACCAGTTCCATGGTAGTCAGGAATCCTAACCACTCCACTTAATCACTTGGAAGTTCTATCCTACAAAGTGGGGTTTAATACCTCAATTTGCTCAACTGTTCTTTGCTAGAGTTGTTCTAGTGCAATACATAAAAAATGACCATTAGGTGTCATTGTAGAGTGGGGTTTCGAAACATTTTGAAGCTTCGACACATTTGCTTCAACTGTTTCAGTGCTTTATGAAGCCTCGCTTTGCCCACCACTAGTCAAAACCAGAAACATAAGAGGTAATCCACAAAACAAGCACAGAGGTTGGTCCAGGTAGCAAACAATTATAAACTATGATGACAGTCCAGGGTCACAACAACAGCCAGGGCATAACATACACAGGAAGCTTTGTGAGAGTGCTGCTTACAGTATATGCGTTTACTGATGTGCTGCAGGTGTGTGACAATCAGAGTCCAAAATGTCTAACAGCTGTGAGCTTCATCATTGCAGGGGTTTATGGGACATGTAGTCTGGGTGGCTGGTGAAGTGAGCAGATAGTTGCAGTGCCCTCTAGTTGGTCTTGTGGGCACAAAAACTGATAATCGTGACATTAACAGTCTGTTTTCCTCAAGCATAAATTGAGAGAGAAAAAAAATTGTCTTCTGCATAGCTGACAAGAACATCAAATGAAAATTACAAGCAAATCCCACACAATGTGGCAATGTGACAAATGTGTTTTTATTTTTGAGTTGTGTTGTGGTGAATATATCAACAACTAGAATCAGTAGCTCACTGAGTGCTACCATTCGCCAAATTAATCTGCATTAATGCAGAATGCACTGCACACCTAAAATAATATCACCCCCATAGTTCAAAATAAATGTGGGTTCTATTGTGTAAATCTTTTGTGAGTTTGTATTTCAGTAGATACATTATTACGTTAAGCCACACAAGTCTTAGTTCTGGGGTTCCATTTAAGAACAACTTAGGGTTAACAATCTGTAATAGGTGGTATGACTTTTTTGTGTTCCTATTCAGGTGCTGCATTTTGGACAAACTGTGCTCCATCTTTGTTTGGTTCATTCATTCATTTTCTTGTCGGCTTACTTCCTTTATTAATCCGGGATCGTCCAGCAGGTTTTTACGCAGCGGATGCCCTTCCAGCCGCAACCCATCTCTGGGAAACATCCACACACGCATTCACACACACACTCATACACTACAGACAATTAAGCCTACCCAACTCACCTGTACCGCATGTCTTTGGACTGTGGGGGAAACCGGAGCACCCGGAGGAAACCCACGTAAAGGCAGGGAGAACATGCAAACTCCACACAGAAACGCCAACTGAGCCGAGGTTCGAACCAGCAACCCAGTGACCTTCTTGCTGTGAGGCGACAGCACTACCTACTGCGCCACTGCCTCGCCATCTTTGCTTGGTTGTAATACCATATTGATTACAAAAATTAAGTCTAGTATGTATTTATTCAGGCGACGCGGTGGCGCAGTAGATACTGCTGTCGCCTCACATCAAGAAGGTTGCTGGTTCAAGCATCGGCTGGGTCAGTTGGCGTTTCTGTGTGGAGTTTGCATGTTCTCCCTGCGGTACAGGGGAATTGGGTAGGCTAAATTGTCTATAGTGTATGTGTGTGAATAAGTGTGTAAGGATGTTTACTAGAGTTGCAGCTGGAAGGGCATCCTCTGTGTAAAACATATGCTGGATTTGTTGGTGGTTTATTCTGCTGTGGAGACCCCTGATTAATAAAGGGACTAAGCTGAAAAGAAAAAGAATGAATGAATGTTTTTATTCAAAGATAATAATTGGGAAGGGGGGACCCAATCATGGTTGTAGGGGTAATTTCCAAATTAAATCCCATTTGCTGCTTTTATATACATTTAGGGACTATGGCGATTCAAAATCTAGGAAATGATAAGGATGAAAAAACTAAATTATATAATAAACTAAATCAAAAAAAATAAACAACATACATTTATGAACTGTCTGTGCTAAATTACTATTTTGTAATATAAATTGCAGGGCGACGCAGTGGTATAGTGGGAAGCGCTGTCACCTCACAGCAAGAGGGTCGCTGGTTCAAGCCTCGGCTTGGTCAGTTGGCGTTTCTGTGTGGAGTTTGCATGTTCTCCCTGTGCTCGTGTGGGTTTTCTTCAGGGTGCTCCGCTTTCCCCCACACGTCCAAAGATTTGTTATATAGATAAATGTCTTAAATTGGGTAAGCTAAATTGTTCGTAGTGTATGTGTGTGAATGTGTGTGTGAATGTTTCCCAGTGATGGGTTGCAACTGAAAGGGCATTTGCTTTGTAAAACATGTGCTGGATAATGTATATATATGAGCAATTCTAGCGTTATCGATGTGACATTCGCAGTAAAATCTCAAAAAATAAATTGACAGATGAAGTATATGTTAGCATTATATTGAACCATCTCCTTATCTTTTTCAAAAGAACTCATCAGAAGAGCAGAAAGATATCAATCTGTAAACATTTTTTATATTTTAAATAAGGAAAATAAACATGCGTTATGGATACGACAAAAAAAGTCTGAAAGTTTAAAGGTTATACAACACAAACCAAAAGAAACTATGCTAATCAAAAGGAGAAGAGTTGGATCACGATAGAACAAACATGATTGATTTTATTTGATATGACATTTTTGCATTTATGAGGAAAAAGCTTTGTTATGGATGTGACATCTCTCTGTTATGGATGTGATGGATGTGAAATTGCCACTTGTGCAACTTTAGTAAATCAAATATAATAGTTTGAAAACATTGACATTTTCGAGTAAATCGAAAATAAACTCAACCCTTTTAGACCAAGCGCCACGGTGCAGAGCGAATTTTTCCGTCCTAAAAATAGCAAAATTGGATTCTGACATACCCTAAAAGCATTTGCGCCCTGCGCTTTGCGCATGGACCGTCAAAATAGAGCCCTAGGTGTGCAGCTTCAGAAAGCATCATGATCTGTTGTGCAGCCAAGTAGTGTGGCAATAATTATAGATTTTGATTGTACGATTATAGTGTAAGAAATAATCACGGTTTCACGGTTATTACGATTATTATGCATTTATTAATTTCAAAACACTACTAGTTTAGAAAATCACATGAAAACTCCTTATATTTTAAAATATTATTTATCGCTGCTCAGTTACCAACTAATACACCACAAAAAATATTCAAATCAAACAATAGTCCATTTCTCTCTGTGCTTAAAAATAAGTAATTTTTTTACATTTAAACATATTTTTTACATTGTAAATAAATGACAGAACAATGAATAAAAAAATAAATAGTATCTGTCTAATGCAGGGCTCGAAATTAACTTTTTACTTGGTAGCACCGTTGCTCCCAACTTCAAAAATTTTAGGTGCACCAGAAAAAATTTAGGGGAACTCACCAACAATGAAAGAGCACCACTGCAAATTCTATATTAACAGATGTAATATAGAAAAGGCCTCCAGCCCAGCCGGCTCCCCACAGGCCTCCAGCCCAGCCGGCTCCCCACAGGCCTCCAGCCCAGCCGGCTCCCCACATGCCTCCAGCCCAGCCAGCTACCCACAGGCCTCCAGGCCAGCCGGCTCCCCACAGGCCTCCAGCCCAGCCAGCTACCCACAGGCCTCCCGGTCAGCCGGCTCCCCACAGGCCTCCAGG